GTTTTAGTTAAAGAATTACCTCCCCGTGCAGCTCGTGTAAAAGGGCCTTTTTCAACCATCATTTCGGATGTACATGCTGCAGAAATTTCAACTTGGATTGACCGTAAAACAACTATTTATTCAACAACGAATATCCCATATAAATTTGAATTAATTTTACGCGGATCCAGAGATGGATTTTCTCCACGAACATTTTGGAATATTTGTCACGGTCATGCTCATTCAGTTGTAGTAGCAAAAGTCAAAGGAACTGATGAAATAATTGGTGGTTATAATCCTTTAGCATGGGATAACAGTAATATTATAGATCGATGGATGAAAACAAAAGATAGTTTCATTTTCTCATTAAAAAATGGTAATATTCGAAATTCAATTCTTAGTAGAGTAAAATATGCCCATATGCAATTCTTTGTTCACGCAAAAATGATCAAAATCGGTTTGATCCATATTTTGGATATAATTTTTGTATGCGAAGTTTAAATTCTAATGATTTTACTTTAGATAATGATTGTTACTGTAAAAGTTATGGTCATTATTATGAAAACCCCATAAGAAAATCATCAGATTACTTTTCTATTATCGATTATGAAGTATTGAAAATTGTTAGAAAATCTTAAAGAATGAGAATATATATAACCATTTTTTTTTATATATAGAATCATGTACAGTACAAGAGAGAAGAATTCAATATTACAGAATAAATATATTAACAAATTATATTAATTATATGTATTATCTATAATAATATATAAATAATTAAAGCGAGGAGTTTCTCGTAGTTTATTTATTTATGACGTGATATATAGATTATTTGAGGTTTTCGTCGCCTGTGGAATTTTTAAAAAAAAACGGTTGAATTATATCTATCTATCTATTTTTTTTGTTTAAAGGATTTTTCATGAAAGGGTGTATATTGATGAACAGTCTTCTTTAATCATTTCATTAATTATTTATGGAGGTTCAATGATCTTTTTATCTTCTTACTTCGAAGATAAATTATTTTTATATTAACTTTAAGAGATTATAACTTACCTGATACAAAGATTGATCGTCCTCTTTATCGTTTCTCTGAATTACATTATTAAAAGAAATTAATTATCAAAAAATTTTTAAGATGATTAATATCTATTACTAAAATTAGTCCATTTATAGAAATTTGTCAAAGTATTCAAAAAAAAAAAAAAATTAACAATAGATAATCTCTTATTTTATTTATTCTAACAATATATACTGTATATATTTCTTGTTTAAAAAAATCCAGTTTATTTACATATTTTCACGTTCACCCTGAAAATCTTTACTTTCTCTTCTCTTCACTCACTTTTCTTTCTTCCTCCTCCTCCTCTTTCCTCCTCAACTTTCTCACTCCTTTTTTCTTTTTACCTGCATGTCTATTACTTCTGATACCACTTTTGATATACATATGTATATATACTTTATTAATAACTGAACTTGAATACGATCTTTTGAATTGTGTAGCATAAGACGATAAGTTACAATAATCTACATTTCTATATCTATGTATATATCTGATATACATTTTTGTACAGTAAATTACATTAATATTGTAACTATTATAAGTATTATTGTAAATTATCACAACAGTTTTTAACACTCAAAACACAACACACGTACGCAGACATGAGATACTCATCCACCACCCACGCTATAGATTATGTGTGTACATATTATGCACACGCGAATATTTCTTTTTTCTTTATTTATTTATTCCTTCTTTTCTTTTCTTCTCTTTATAAAATTCGAAATATCTATTTATAAATTTCATTTATTATTTTTATTTTTATTTTATTTTTATTTTATTTTTTCACCGTTATTATCAAACATTTTATTTATTTTATTTATTTATTTATTTATTTCGCATTGAATTCATTCACATTAACATTTTATTTATTTTTCTTTTTTTCTTAATTGGTATAAATGGACACCATACGGAATTTAGGTTCCGTATACACTGAGACAGATGTATATATACAGTACACTCGGATGTTGAGACGACACACCTACACCTAAGTAAATGCACACGTACACGGACGGGAAATACACAATACGGAAAATATACAAAATATATAAGATATACAAGATATAATAAAAATATAACAAAATATATACAAAAATATACTAACAGGAAATTACTAAACAGGATGATTTACTTAACGAAAAATATTACTGGAAAATGATAAATATTACTAACCTTACAAGTATATAAAAACATATAATATATATTTACTTTTTTTATATATATTCCTAAATTTAGTTCACTCAACCCATTTTTTAAAGAATATATATACGATTATTATTACTGAATGCATATTTATTATTATTAATAATAAATTAATTAATAATAAATTAAATTAACTGAGGATAAATTAACTGGTGATAAAATTTAAAATAAAATTTAATAAATCTGTTCAGTATGTTCGGAGTATGTTCGATATATTCGGTATTACGAACATGTGATACTAATTATTCAATAAAATCAAATAAAAAATCGATATTTTTTTTCTTCGCTCTTCTTTTTTTACATCTGCAGGTGAAAATTAAACTAAATTTAGTGAAATTAAAAAAATGAAAATTTTTACATATGAAAAAAAAAAGCGCTCAGATGTGTCTCACTTTCAATAATTTTTACTAATTTTTGATTAGTTTATTTAGTTTAATACGTAATGTATCAATATTTAATAATGACATATGGTAAGTGTCATCAAAGATGTCAGAGTACATATAAAATATTCGAAATAATAAATAATAAATAATGAAAAATATAAAATATAATAAATAATGGATAATAAAAAATAATAAAAATAAATAATAAAAAATGTAATAAATAATAATGATGAAAATATAATAAAATAAAAATATAATAAATAATATAAAATATAATATAGATAATAATATAATAAAATTCTTATACACACAAACAAACAACATATAAAATTAAATACACACATATATTGATATGATAAACATGGTGGTTAAACATGGCTAAAATATGATGAGAATGTGTGTGTGAAACATGGCGAACCACCCATCTCGACTCTCATTCTTATTTATTCATCTCATTCACCAATATCAAGTATAGAAAGAGTATAAATCATTATCTCATCTCATTTATCTAATTTTTAATATCTCATTTACATACACAATACATAATATACAATACATATATACACACATACATAACCTACATCAGATATACAACATATAGTATTTCATTTATGAAGCATTTATAGAACATTCTCATTTTTTTTTTATATAGCAATCTCTCATTTTAGTAATTCTTCATTTTAATGGCATTTTTTTAAAAAAAACTTTAAAAACCTTATTTATCAAATAAATATCATAAAATGTATAATAAAAAATATACTATATGTACATGTATGCTGTGCAAAAAAAAAGAAGTCCAAGTTTAGACTAGTATTTTCGATTAGCTTTCAGACTAGTTTTTATTTATTTTTAAAAACTAGTTTTGATTTTATTTTATTTATGCATATAGATTTGATTTACGATATTTATATTTTATACTGTATATTTGATGTATATCTGTTATTTGTTATATTTTTTTTATTTTTGGATGCGCTTTGATGTGGCATAAAAAAGGAAATAATAAGGAAGTGATACAAAGAATACGTAGTTTCAAACAAACAAAAAAAAAGTAATAATAATAATTTCCATTAGATTTTGATAATTTCGAAATAACGAAATCAAATAAATTTCCTTTCCCCGCATTACAGATTATTACAGATAATATTTATAAAGTTGCAGAATTTCCCAAGAAAATTTATTTTTAATTTTATTAATTCTTAATTATATGATAATATTGATACATTGATTAACAAATATTGATGTTGTTTGAAATTTTATTATTGTTCGTTTTTTTTAATAGGGAATTTGGTGGTGATGGTTATAAGTGAAACAACAGATTTTTTTAAAAAAAAATAAATAAAACAATAAAAAAATTCACCGATGACCAAAATTATCAAATCAACACCACAAACCACAAACCACACATAAATCTCTTTTTATTTTTTGACGGCTTACTCTGCATAACTTTTTTCTCCTAACTTGTAAATCTTGTGTATCTCATCTCAAATATTACATTATTATTATCATCATTATTATTTATTATTATTATATTATTATAATTTTCATTATTATTATTATAACAGATAAACAGATATTATTTTTATTTATATTATTATTATTATATTTTATTTATTTTATTATTTATTTATTGGTTATTTTGGTTTGCTCTTTCTTTCGCTTATTTTTTCTTTATAATTTTTTTTAAAGTTTAGAACTATTAAATTCCATTTTGAGGCTTATTATTATTATTTTTATTTTTATTATTGTTATTATTTTTATTACTATTTTATTTTCTTTCTTTTTTTCTATTGCTTTATTTTTTATAATAATAATAATAAATAAAATAATAATACTGTAATAATAATAATAATAATAATTTATAATAATAATAACCCATATCATAATAATCAGATTCATAAAAATCTTCTTGGAATATATTTTCCTTTTTTTTTTTTAAAAAAAAAAAAAACTTTTATTTTGGGGGGAATAATAATATTGGATAATATCCGAACACCTACATCAACTATTGTTGTGCCTTTTTTTATTTCCTCAACTTTTTAACTTCTCACTTTCTCTCACTACTCCGACAATTTACTTCAACCTTATTCCGAAAATTTACCACTTCGAAATTTTTTTTTTTTTTTTATTACAGTCATTTTTTTTAATATATATATATTTTTTAATTATTTTTAGAAGGCGGAGAGAGAGAGTTCAGAGTATTCAAAAGTATTTCAAAAGTATTCAAGTTATATCGAAAAGAAAGATAACCTTTCTTTCGTTTTAAATCCTAATTTATAATTAATAAACCTAATAACCTTTAATAACTATTACCTTGTTAAATAAAAGTATTTATAAACTAATAATTATATAAAAATAAGATAATAAAAATAAGAGACATGGACGCACTGCACTATAAAGTTGGTCGTCTCAGGTCATTATGGCAAGAATTCCGAATTACTAATGACGGTGTGGATGGTTGTGATTACGGAGATCAATCGGAATGGGCGAGAGGTAAACTACAGGTATGTGTATATGTATAATATATATTTATCTCTCTAATTATCTAAATACATTAATATATATATATATATAAGCATTTAAGTATTATATCTCCATCTAATAATAATAATAATAATAAAATCTTTTGATCATGGATAAGAAATTATAGAAATTATTACTGATAATCAATTCTTATTATAATATCATTGTTATTAATATTGTTATTATCATTATTGTTAATAGAACATACTCACAGAATTAGATAAACTTATTCAAGAACAAGTCATTTGGAAATCTGCATTATCCGCCGATATACAAGATTTATTGGTATTTCTTTTACTTCCATCTCTTCCTCTCTATATTTCGTTTTCTTTTTTTTAATAATAATAATGATGATGATCTAATTTTAATTCTATTTTTTTTTATTTATAATCATAATGAATGAATGATGTAATTTATTAAATATTCTAATACAATTTCACTTGGACTTGACTTGGACTTGAATTGAATTGATTTGGATTGGATTGGATCGGATTTTAGGTCGAAATAGAAGATTATTGTAATTTATTTGGTCGAAATATCGATACGATAATACCACATGTTGCTTCGATGAGTTATGAATTAAGTTATAATACTCGTGATAAACTTTTTTCGATTCGTAATTCATTACGAGAGGTATTTTGATTTTATCATTTTATTATTATTAATTATTAATTATTAATTATTAATTATTTATTATATTATTATTAAAAATATCTAACGTGTTGTTCTTTATAGGAAGCTACTGTGACACAAAATAATGTTAAAACATGGGTGAAACATTTATCAGTGTTTGTTAAAGAATTGAATAGTGAATATCAAGTACCTCCAATAGAGGTAATTTATTTTATTTTATTTTATTTTATTTATTTTAATTTAATTTATTTATCTATTTATTTTTTTTTTATTTAATTATTTAATTTAATTTAATTTATTTAACTTATTTTCGTGTAGCTTTTCGATTCTGACCTGAGTTCCTCAGTAGTTTTACCGGTTTGTATATTATAATTTTTATTATAATTTTTATTATAATTTATAATTAATAAATTATTATTTATTTTAAATCATGAATATAAACTATTGATAGGTACGGCATAAATATGATGAAATGGTCCGAATTGTGGTATGTAATCTTTTAATAATTATTATTATAATTATTATTTTTAATTATTATATAATTCCATTTATTAATTACGCATTCACATGTGAATTAAATATAATATACACATATATATATATAAATAGGCTCCATTACGTGAATCATTTGAAGAATGTGCAATTCAACTTCATCATTATTGGAATATGTTACATTACACTCCGCAAGATGAAATAGACAAAGGAATGATTTGTTTATTCGCTAATAAGAGTAACCCCAAAGAACTTTATGAAACGTTACAAGAGACTATCAAAAATCGAGAGAATAACTTAAATAATAAGAGTAATGATTCCTCGGAAGGAAGTGATGATGGTGATGAATCAGATGATTTAATTGACCCCCAACTAAATCGACAAATTCAAGAATTTATGAATCAAGAATTTCATTATTATCAAATGGATCTACCCACGGGATTAAGGTTAAATTCCGATCAATTGGAAATTTTGAGAGAGAAAGTGAAATTATTTGAGAATGAATATCAAGTTCGAAAAGGGAAACTTGAAATGTTAAGTAAAGGGGTCAAATATTTATATGGGGAATTGAAAACTCCCATGGAAGAAAGGATTCAACTTTTTGATGATAATATGGATGAAGAGTATTTGGAGAAAGTATGTTCTATTGTTAATTTATTTATTTTATTGATTTATTATTTTTAATTATTAATTTATTATTTAATATTTATTGATTATTAATTTATTATTTAACTATTTATTTATTATTATATTTTTATATTTTATATTTTAGTTAAATCTTGAGTTTGAACGTTTAAGAGAAATTATGCGAGCTATTATTCAAAAAGCCATTGAACAGGTATTATTATATTTACCATTAGCTATTATTAATTATTATTATTATTTATTTATTTATTTATTTATTTATTTTTTTTTTATTATTTATCGCTATTTATTATATTTTTTTTTTTTGTAGTTTACTGCACAATTAGTTGATCTTTGGGATAAATGTCTGGTTCCTCAATATGAACGTGATGAATTCTTCGAAAGCTTACAAAAAAGTAAATAAAATAATAATAAAAATAATAATAGTTACCTGCAATGTTACATTTCAATATCAAATTTTTACAATTTATTTGATAATTGGATAATAATTAACTTTTTATATTTTTTATTTATTATTGGTATATAGTTGAATCTGCTGATGAAGTATATGAATTACTTTCACAAGAAGTATCTCGTCTACAAGAATTATACGCCAAATGTGCCAAGATTTATCGATGGATGTTGGAAAGAAGAGCCTTAATCGAGGTAAAATTATTCATTCATTGATTTTCATTATCACATTTATTTTATTCTTCATATTCACATATATATATATATATTCAATCCATCATCCATCATCCATCATCCATTTGTTCACAGAAAATGATCGAATTTGAAAAGAAGGCATCCGATCCACGTCGCCTCTTTCAAAGTTCATTCCGACTATTGGAAGAAGAAAAATGGAGAAAAACTTGTTGGCCCAATTTAGTTAAGATCGAAGATAAATTAATTAACGCGTGTGTGGCGTATGAAGAAAGTATGTGCTTTATTTATTAATTGATTTATATTTATACATATATATATTACATACATGTATTAATTAATTAATATTAAAATCATATTCTTATTTTAGCTGAGAGAAAACCTTTTATGCATGAAAGTAAACGTTATCTGGATACATTGGTAATGTTAAATTAATTATTATTCTCTAATAACTTTAATAATAATATTATTATTAATGAGTGATGATTATTTGTATTATTAATTTACCATTTTTTAATGATTTTTATTTTTTATTTTTTAATATGATAGCAAGGAGAAATCTCAGAACGTATTGTGAATCAAATGTTCTTTGGTTTTGAAAAGGATTCAATGAAAACACCAAAATCAAAAGATACAACCAATAATTCATTATCTACCAGGCGTCAAGGTTCATCATCATCATCATCATCCAATGGTTCAATTAGAGCTACAATGAGCCGACCAGTATCACCTGCTCATTCAGTTAATGGTGACTCTCCTACTATAAATGTTAATGGTAGAGAAAGAGATGGTAGTAATGGTAATAGTAATGGTGGTAGAGGTCGTCCCATGTCATTATATGTTCCAAATACACATCATTCACCTAATTCTCGAAGAAATAGTACGGCAACAAAACTTTCTCCCATTTCACCATCTAATAATTCAATAAGTCGACCTGTATCACCTTCAACATATTCTAGAAAAAGTGGAAGTGGTCATCAATTATCACCAAATCAAATTCCCAGTAGTAGATCAACATCTCGTGCTCCAAGTAGAGCTCCTAGTAGAACACCAAGTAGAACTCCCAGTAGAGCTGTATCACCTGCACGAAATGGAAATCATTCAGCAACATCAAGTAACGGTAGTAGTAATGGTTTGGGAGTGTCACCGGTATTGTTATCAACTAAATTAAAAAATAGGCGACGTAGTGCATTTATCACAAGTCCTATTGAAGTAACATCATCCGCAAGTCCTCGTTAATAATAATAATGATGATAAGAATAACAACAATAATATTATTATTTTATTATTATTATTACTGTCGTTATTTTTATTATTTTTATTATTATTATTATTATATAATTAGTTTTTTTTTTTTTGTTTTAGTTTTTTTTTTCTTCTTGAGTGAATGGGTGAGCCTCATGAAATCCCCATTCTTTCTTTCTTTCTTTCTTTTTTTAAAAAATTATGATTTTTTATTATTTTTTGGAACATTCAAATAAACATTTTTCAAATATATGAACATTTAAACATTTTTTCAAAATATATGAACATTCAAACAATTTTTCAAATATATGAACATTTAAACAATTATTCAAATCTAATTCAAACATTTAGGGTTAAAAAAAAAAATTGTAAAGTTTTATTGGTTTTATTATTATTATCTTTATTATTTTTTTTTTGTTGTAGATATATATATATATATTTTTTACAAAGATGTTTTATATTTATATTTTATTTTATACGATGGGATGAGAATTGAAATTTTTTGGTTTTTTTTTTTCTTTTATTAAAAGAAACAAATCAATAATTGAAAAAAAAAAATTATGAATAATTGAATTACAATTACTACAAAAAAAATAATAATAGTCGTGATAATCTTAACCGATATTCTAGTCTTTTTTTTTTTTTATTTCTTTATGTTTTTATTATATTATTAATAATTATTGAAAAAAAACGTCAGATATATTTTTAAAGATTTTAATATATAAATAAAAATTTAACTTTCAATCTTTAATATTTTTAAGAATTTTTGTACACGTCACACATTATTATAATGATCATATAAAGACATTGAAATATTATATTGTCGATTTTGTGATAAATTTACATTTCCTTTATTATTATTTTCCTATTTTTATAAAAATCGAAATTAAAAACTAAGCTAATTGAATTTGTACAAATGGGATGAAGAAATTCATATTCTATGCCTAGTGTTAAGATTTTATAATATCAAAAAAAAAAAACTAATAAATAATGCTTTATAATTTAATAAGTAAAATACAGATAAAAATATAGAATGTCAAATAAAATTAAAAACTAGACATCCAAATCAATTATTCCAGAATCACCTAAATAACATAGAAATGAATATAATTTATTATAAAAATAAAAAATAAATAATATAATATAATATAATATAATAACACTTATTAGGACATAAATCAGACATAGATTTAATTAATTCTTCGAGTTTCCTTTCGAAATTTTCTTCATTCTTGGAAGTTTTGAATAATTAAGAAGTCGACTGGTATAAATTGCTTGTGGATGTGTTTGATAATTAAGAGGAGTTGTAATTGTTGTATTGGTTGATTCTTGATTTGCTGAAAATTCTTCAGCTTTTTTAATTTGAATTACAATTTCTGAATTTTCATTTTTCACGAATTCTAAATAATCTTTATAAGCACCATAGTATTCCATCAACTCAATTTAATTCTTTAGAAGTGAGTCTATGTGTAACTCGAGCATCCCAACATCTCATAATTGTTCTTGTAATCAATTTTGGAGCATGAAATGGAGGAAAACCCGTAACTATTTCGTAAGCAATAATTCCAAATGAATATACATCAGCAGCTTTTGTATATTCTTAACCACCACTTAATACTTCTGGAGCAATATATAGTAATACACCAAATATATTCTTTTTTTCGGATTTACCCCCATTAGTTTACTTAATCCAAAATCTGAAATCGTCATATCACTTGTATTGAAATCAGATGATAAAATATTTCCAGGATATCTAATTCATGAATATCACTCAACCCAAAAGATAATTTCCATAGATTTTCTAATTTTTGTTTCCAATTAATATTATTAAAATTAATTTTTAAATATTCTCGAAGATTTCCATCTTTTGCATATTCTAAAACCATCATATATGAGTTTGTTTCTGGATCTTGTGTAATTCCATAAAATTGAATTGAACAAGAATTTTTAGTCCATGTTTTTAAATGAATTGCCATCTAATAATATAAACTTTTTTAATTTATAGTTAGAACGTTATATAATAATTTGAAAATATTAATTGAAATATTACCTCATATAAAACATCGTTTAAATTCACAAAATTATCTTCTCTTTTCCATTGTTGATTTTCAATATCCCGTTTTTTAATACTTCCATCAATCCACCTAGCATAATGTATTGTTCCAAATCCACCTCTACCTATTTGCTTAACATCTTTAAATCTATCATAAGGTATCCATTCTATTATTTCCCAACGGCTATTAGCATTTAGTTGAGCATCATAAATGAATTTATCTATTTTGTCATTTTCACTTTTCCAATTATTAATATCATTTAGGAAATGTTTTGAGTTACACAGTTTGCACCAATTCCAGAAAATACATTTTTGATTATGCCATTTTTTGTTTGCTTATGGTATGAAAAGATAGAAATTTATTTTTTTAAAAAAAAAAGTAAATTACGTTAAAAATTGTAGGTTGTTTTGAGTATATAAATAATTAATTAAAAAAGTATTAATATGCAATCTGAAATTCATCATTGTGAGAACTTGTGATATAATAATATTGTTTTTTTTTTTGCGTAATAAAAATAACACATTTATTTATAAAAATATTTATTTATTTTTTCTGAGTGAATGGTTTTAGGATTTAGGATGCGATTTATTATTATTTATTATTTTAATTATTACTATTAGTATTACAGTGGACCCCCTCCACAAGTACACCCCTCGGAACCATAGACACCAAAAATAAAACGTATGATTATAACCATATAGAGGGATTTTATATAGTATTACTAAGTATTGGTCATCATGAAAGGTGCGGGGATTTACATGATGTGATTGTACAGGGGTGACTATAGAGGGGGTCACTGTATTTGTATTTATTATAAAACACGACTACCTTAAATCATTACCTATACGGACAATTTGAGACATGGAGCATTTAGATCAAGTATTAAAACAAAGTATGATTTTACATCTGGTGTTTTGCATTTGATTGGAACATCGACAGGGTGAATTGTTTGATAAAGTGAAGAAAAGAGTAATTGCAGATTTCGTTTTGCAAAAAGTAATAGTTCAGATTTATTAATTTTTTATGAGTATTTTTTTTATTTTATTTTTTTTTTGTGAAAAATGATTTTTTTTTTTTTTTTTGCGAAGATGATTTTTGTTTGTGACGATAATTTTTGGTTTTTTGTGAATGAGAAGAAAAAGAATGATTTTTTTATAAAAAAATTTTAAATATAATCAAATCTAATTATGAATTAAATAAATGACTTAAGTAAAGTAAATTAAATAATCAATTTTAATTTGATTTTAATGAATAATTTGAAATACCGTGAATTTAAATTTAGCGGCAAATATAGTTCTATTGAAATAACATCACTAGGTCCACATTAATTATAATAATAATACTCCGTATGTAGTATTTAATTTATTTTTTTTATTGTTTTTTATGTGTTTTATTTCTTCTTCCTTTCTTGAATGAACCTCTTAAAAATTATGATTCCATTTTTTAAAATTTATAATTCTTTTTATTTTGAACATTCAAATAAACATTATTCAAATATGTAGACATTTGAATATTATATAGATACTTTAGGGTAAAATAACAAAATTACCATTTTGAAAAATGTGTAAAATTTATTATTTTCTTTTTTCCGATATTTATATAATAAGTGTAAAATTTTACATATAAAATATTATTATAAAATGTTTTATTTTACATTCGACCTAGTCCAAGGCTCCATTAGATGAATCTACTGTATCTATATACATTTACTTCCTATCTTTTAAAATTATGTATAATATGTTTTCTATTAATTCTATCTTTATTTTCACCCATTATCATTTTCTTTTTAGCTTTCTTCCCCTTTTTTTTTAATTTTCATTTATTTTAACTGTAATTATTATCAAGTCCCCCAATCATTTGCTTTTCGCACATTTCTTTCCAATAATTTTTTTAAATTATCTTTAAAATTAATAATTCCCTCCTTATTGCTTCTTTGGAATTTCTTTAGATTTTAATCTCGATGTCACTTTTTTTTTAACTAAGAGTGTGTAATGAACCCTTTAATTAAATCATATAAAGTTTAAGCGAGTCTATCTCTAGTATATCTATTCTCTACAACCATATTTCACCAACAGATCTGAGTATTATTTTGATTGTTTTTGTATTTGTAAGCATTTTATTAAATGGCTTACAGTCACAATCGCTATTGCCTCTTTTACATTTGAAAACGTGAATATCGTTTTCTTCAAATTGACCACATAGGACACGTTTAAGGTTTCCATTATACATGTGTTGATGTTGAAATTTTTTATGCATTACCAGCAATTCTTCATTTAAAATTTTATTATTTCATTATGTTGACTTCATTATCTATAGTTTAGTAATCATATAACAAATTCTAAAATAATAATTTAATTATCATTATTATTACTTAATTTATAGATTTTTTTTTCTAAATTTTTTATAAAGGAAAAAAGAATGATTTTTTATATTTTATTTTTATTTTAAATGACCGGATAGGAATTTAGTGAAATTTTTTGTGCTTTTATTAAAAGAATGAATAATTGAAAAACACATCTACAACAAAAAAAAATAATAGTCTTGATAATAGTCTTGATAATAGACTTTTTTATATTTTTTCTTTGGTTTAAAACTTTTTATTCTATTTTTTACGTTTTGATTATATATTGAATAAAAAATTAAAATTGGCTAAATATTTTAATATATTTTAAATTTAACATTCAATCCCTTCAATCTTTAATAAATTGTAATGAATTCTTGAGAATTAAATGAGAAAAAAATGAGAAAGATTACCAAATTTTTTTTACACATATCATTATTATCTGTTGACATTGATTTGGGTAAAATTATATTTCTTATTAATTATAAATCGAAATGCTATTGAATTCGTACTCTATTCCTAGTTTTAAGATTTTATAATACCAAAAACTAATAAATTGTGATTTATATTAATAAGTAGAATACAAATAAAATATAATGTAAAAATAAAATTTAAAATTTAGACATAAAAATGATAAAAAATAACACGCATTAATTTTATTAATCACATCAAAATAATAAAATTTCATTTATTCTTATTGTTTATATTAATTTATTACAAAATAAAATAAAAACAACATGAAGTTAAATCTTAAAAGCCTTATACAAAGACAAGTAATTGAAGTACCTCTATTAAATTCCAAAGATAAAGCATAACAAATCAAGGTTGCAGATTAACTGTTGACCAAGAGTTGAGTGCTGAGCGTTAAGATCAATTACAGAAAATGATTGCGAGAATTTTGGGCGCAAATTATTGTAATGATAAGGAAGAGAAAAAATATCATATTTCATTTTTTGAAAAAAATAATAATTAATTTATAAGGAATATTTACTTTTTTTTCCTTTGCGAAGATGAATATGATATCTTTTACTTAAAATGTACTAAATATGTCAAAAAACTATTGTTATGTATTTAAATATTTGTCTTTTGCTAATTTGAAAACCTTCTTAATCATTTATTGATAATTGGCTATTTTTTTTCTAATTAGTTTTTCATAAAAATGTATTAAAATTGTTCAATGAAATTTGGACCATAATCAGGGTTATTATAAATACCCTCGCTCGTATTTTTTACATGGAATTTTGATGTTAAAGAAAAATAAAAGTATTAAATCAGAATTCTAGCCAATATACTGTTTTCTGATCACAAAATGCATTTTGCCCTTGTTCCACACCACAAAGAATGAGTTGAATTCATATGATTTATTAATAACTTCATTTCTTATTAACCTATTCTATCGTAAGAATTGATGAAAATAATTTCAAGGTGGTAAAACTCGATTTACTTGGGAAAATATAATACTTTAAAATATTAGTCTAATTTTTTTTTCATGAATTTTTGAAATGGATATTTCTTTTCCATAATGTTTTCATTGTAAAAATTGAAAATATTGAATATGCTAACACGTTTTTAAGTTAAATTGTCACTATTATTTACTAGGTCATATACATGAACTTGTGATATAAAGACTTATCGAAATACAGTACGTGTATTATTGTAAGACTTTAGTCACTTTTGATTTTATGATAAATTTATTATTATTTTCCTATTTTTATAAAATCGACATTGCAAACTAAACCGTATATCGCGGGCCATAGTACCCCTATTAAAAATTATTTGGTTTTTTTACATGGAAAAAATATGATTTTAAAATTTGTAAAGCACCCGGATATAAAATAAGGTCAATAAAAGATATTTATTATTTATTATTATCATTATATTATTATTATTATCTTCATCATATACCCAGGGTATTTTACAAACCTTATACCCCTCCCATTCACAGTACGCCTCCTCCCTATTTTGCTATTTATTATACCCCGGGTATAAGCAAGAAACTCGAAATTTTTAATATACCTGGGGTGCGATATACGGTAAATTTGTACAAATGGGATGAAGAACACATCAGGGAAATTTATAAGCTGTAATACTACATAATATTTATGGGCTGCCTATACGTAAATTTACACATGAGTTCTTATTCTCTGTTTAGTGTTAGATTTTATGATATCGAAAAAATTAATGAATAGTGCTTTATAATTATTATAATTTAATAAGTAAAATACAATAAAGATACAGTATATAATGTCAAACATAGAAATAGATTAATATAATTTATTATAATATAAATAAATAAAGATATTACAATACTTGCTAGACATAGGTTTAGTTAATTCATCAAGTTCCTTTCGAAATTTTCTTCATTCTTGGGTTTTGGAAGACTTGAATAATTAAGAAGTCGACTAGTATAAATTGTTTGTGGATGTGTTTGATAATTAAGCAGAGTTGTAGTTGTTGTAGTTGTTATATTTATATTGGTAGATTCTTGATTTGCTGAAAATTCTTCAGCTTTTTAATTTGAAAAGCTATTTCTGAATCTTTATTTATCTCATTACCATAAACATCATAGTATTAATTTAACTCATTATATAATTCTCTAAAAATGGGTCTATAAACATCCCAACACTTCATAATTGTTTCTTGTAATTAATTTGGAATATTAAATGGAATTCTTGGTACTAATCCATTGCATATTTTCATAGCTAAATCTCTCTTTTATTTATGTTAAAACTTTTTTTCAGTCATATAAGCAACTTTCTATTTTAAGAAAAATTATTTCGTAAGCAATAATTCCATATGAATATATTCTTCACCACTTAATACCTCTGGTAATACGCCAAATATATTCGTTTTTTTCGGAACTATTTAAATTTACTACTATTAGTTTACTTAATCCAAAATTGAAATCTGTAAATGATTTTAAAATTGGATGATAAAATATTGAACTATATCAAATCTATGAATATCCATTCCATCAACTTTAAAGATAATAGCCATAGATTTTCTAATTTTCGTTCCAATTAATGTCATTAAAATTATTTTTTTAATATTCCCATCTTCTGCATATTTTAAAACCAACACATATGAGTGGGTTTCTTGTGTAATTCCATAAAATCTAATTAAAGCATATCCAGCGAGTGTTTTTAAGTAATTTCCATCTAATAATGTAATTTATGATTGGTTAAAACGTTATATAATAATTTGAAAATTTAATTTAAATATCAATTAAAGTATTTACCTCATTTAAGACATCATTCAAATTTACAAAATTAGTAATTCCACTTCTCTTTTACCGTGCCTTTTCCATTGTTGATTTTAAATATCCCATTCATCAATTGGTCATCAATCCATCAAGCATAATGATTGTTCCAAATCCACTTCTACATATCTTTAAATCTATCATAAGATATCCATTCTATTACTTGCAAATAACCTTGTCCAATAATTAAATTCATTTGGAAATGTTTCGAGTCGAGTCACCATTTATTTTCACTATATTTTTTGATTGCATATTTCAAAAGATGAAGGTAGAAATTTATTTCTTTGAAAAAAAAAAAAGAATTGTAAATTCCGTTTAAATTGCAAAATGTTTTTAGTATGAATTTATTATGAAATTTTTATTATTTTTATACGCAAAATATGCAAAATTTTATTTTATGTTGATAGAATAATATGGATCACTTCTATAATTATTAAATTTCTTTTTTAATTTTTAATCAAAATGCGGGATAAAAATAACACGAATTAATTTTATTAATTACTGATTATCTCATTTATTATTATTATTTATTACGAAGAGTTATCATTACTTTTTTTTGTAAAATAAAAATAACATAAATCAAATCTTAAAGTTCCTCTACTAAATTCCAAAGGTAAAGAATAACAAATCAAGGTCGTCGACCAAGAGTTTGAGTACTTTCAATTGTAGAAAATGATTGTAAAACGCGAAAATTTGACATTGCCACATAACGGTGTAAGGAAGAGGAAAAAATAATATAAGATTTCATTTTTGAAAAAATTATAATTTGAACTAATTTATTTAATTTATAAATTTCTGATGAGGAATATTTATTTTTTTCTTTGCGAAGATGAGTATTATATATACCTTTATTTAAAATGTGCTAAATATGTCGAAAAACTATTGTTATATATTCAAATATTTTTTTTCTTTTACTAATTTGAAAACCTTCATAATCAACTGTTAATAATTGGCTATTTTTTCTAATTAGCCATTCATAAAATTATTCCTAAAATTTGGTTATTATAATACCCTCGCTTGCATTTTTTTTTACGAACAAGAATGAAATTTTTGATATTAAAGAAAAAATAAAATTTCATAAAACCTGAATTCCAGTCAATAAAATTGTGACCATCAAGCTTCGATTTGCCCTCTTCTTCCGCACACAAAGAATAAGGTTGAATCATATAGTTTTATTAATAACTACCTATGTAACTTCCTTCTTATCATTCCAAAATGCAAGAAAATTATTCCAATTATTGTTATTATTTTTTCTTAAATTATTTATTAAAAGAACCAAAAAAAAAAAAATCATTAAGATAACTTTTTTTTTTTTTAATTAAAAAGGTAATTAATTATTTATTTATATAAAACTCTCAATTTCATAGATGGTATTTAGTTTGCATTATTTATACCCGATATTGGTATATATGGTATGAAAGGTAGATATTTTTTTTTTTTTTTTTTGAAAAATGAAAAATAAATTACGTTTGAACATTTTATTATTTTATAATATTTTTATCTCATTACACGCAAAATGCATAATCCTAGAAATGATCAATTTATACATTAAAAATAATTTTTTCCGAATAAATCAAGTGTAATAAAAATAATTAACACACAGTAAATATTATACTTTCATTCAAAGGCAGCGTTAATTGTTTGGTAAAATGAAGAAAAGAGTAATCGCGGATTTCATTTTGACAAAAAATAATAACTTGAATTCATGAGGAATAATTATTTTGATAATTTCGTTTTTTTTTTGTAAAGATGATTTTTATTTTTGTGATGATAATTTTTTTTTGTGAAAGAAAATTAAATATAATTAAATATAATTAAATGAATAAACATTTAAATTTAATAAATTTTTTATTTGATTAAATTTAAAAGCAAATTTAACACGAACGAACAGACGAAATAAACATCTAATACATATGTATACGTGTTTTTCATCATCAGAGTGGAGAGAGTGGAGGATTTTAGCGTAATAGTAATTGGATTTAATTCAAGTAAACGATCAGTGTGGTGGTGGACTTATGGCGTAATAAAGACAATAATCGATGTCACACGAAAAAAACAAGCATTTATAAGTTTATTCATTTCAAAATATTGTTCGTAGTCAAGGCGTGACCTATCAATACTTCTTCCTCTTCCAAAAGGAACTTTGATGATTTTAGCGAAAACCTATCCTCCAATAAATCTAGCGGATCATTATAATAACGTCGAAGATAAAGGAAAACAAAAACGATTGGAATCCCAAAATCATATTTCTTAGGATCTTGTTAAAAGTGTATTGATCGGTAAGAATACCCCCGGAACGAGGGGTGGTACTTGATTTGTTTGTGGAAAGGTTGAGATCTTTTAAATGGATTAAAGCGAAAATATCGAATTTAGTTGGTTTTGGTATGAATATATATTATCTATTCTAAACATTTTAGATCAATTTCTATTAAAATTTTTCTATTAACCTTATCTATCTATAATAATATCATTTAGATATTGCGGAAGTATCAATTAAAGATGTAAAAAATTGTTGGTATTATTGAAAACGTTACATATTATATATATTTAGATGTAGAGTGAGAGAAGGAGAATTTTTGTTAAAGCTTTTTTTTTAGATCATAAATTTGATGCGGAATTCCACGTTTTTGATTGCTTTTCAGTTTATTATTTATTATATTTCTATTGCTTTATTTTTAATAATAATAATAATAACAATTTATAATAATAACCATATAATAATCAGATTCATAAAAATCTCGGAATAATTTTTTTGGGGGGGGGGACAATAATATTGGAATACTCACTCCAACTATTGTTGTGTCTTTTTTTATTTCCTCAACTCTTTAACCTCACTTTTTACTTCAACTTTATTCCGAAAATTTATCGCTTCTTCAAAACAACTTTTTTATAAATATCTTTTTTTTTTGCTATATATATTTTTTTAATTATTTTCGGAAGACGGAGAGAGAGTTCAAAGTATTCAAAAGTATATCAAAAGTATTCAAAGTTATATCGAAAGAAAGATAACATTTCTTTTGTTTTAAACCCTAATTTATATTTATTAAACCTAATAACCTTTATCTTGTTAAATAAAAGTATTAATAAACTAATAATTATATAAAAATAAGATAAAAAAATAAGAGACATGGGCGCACTACACTATAAAATTGGTCGTCTCAGGTCATTATGGCAAGAATTCCGAATTACCAATGACGGAGATCAATCGGAATGGACGAGAGGTAAACTACAGGTATGTGTATATGTATATGTATAATATATATTTCTTTCTCTAATTATCTAAATACATTAATATATATACTATAAGTATTTAAATATTATATCTCCATCTAATAATAATATTATTATTAATATCTTTTGATCATGAAATAATCAATTCTTATTATAATATCATTGTTATTAATATTGTTATTATCATTATTGTTAATAAAACATACTCACAGAATTAGATAAACTTATTCAAGAACAAGTCAATTGGAAATCTGCTTTATCCGCCAATATATAAATTTTAATGGTATTTCTCCTCTCTATATTTCGTTTCTTTTTTTTTTTAATAATAATGATGATGATCTAATTTTAATTCTATTTTTTTTTATTTATAATCATAATGAATAAATGATCTAATTTATTAAATATTCTAATGCAATTTCACTATACTTTACTTGGGCTTGGACTTGAATTGAATTGAATGAATTGGATTGGATCGGATTTTAGGTCGAAATAGAAGATTATTGTAATTTATTTGGTCGAAATATCGATATGATAATACCACATGTTTTCTTCGATGAGTAATGAATTAAGTTATAATATTCGTGATAAACTTTTTTCGATTCGTAATTCATTACAAGAGGTATTTTGATTTTATCATTTTATTATTATTAATTATTAATTATTAATTATTTTATTATATTATTAAAAATATCTAGGAAGCTATTATGACATAAAATAATGTTAAAACATGGGCGAAACATTTATCAGTGTTTGTTAAAGAATTGAATAGTGAATATCAAGTACCTCCAATAGAGGTAATTTGTTTTATTTTATTTTATTTTATTTTAACTTATTTTCGTGTATTCTGACCTGAGTTCTTCAGTAGTTTTACCGGTTGTAAAATAATTTTTATTATTACTTCGTATTATTATTTATAATTAATAAATTATTTATAATTGATAAATTATTATTTATTATAAATCACGAATATAAATATGATGAAATGGTCCGAATTGTGGTATGTAATCTTTTAATAATTATTATTAAAATTATTATTTTTAATTATTTTATAATTCCATTTACTAAATATAATATATACATATATAAAAATAGGCTCCACTACGTGAATCATTTGAAGAATGTGAAATTCAACTTCATCATTACTGGATTATGTTACATTACACTCGTGCAAGATGAGATAGATAAAGGAAAGATTTGTTTACTCGCTAATAAGAGTATCCCAAAGAACTTTTTGAAACTTTACAAGAGACTATCAAAAATCGAGAGAATAACTTAAATAGTAAGATTATGCCTCGGAAGGAGGCGATAGTGATGATGAATCAGATGTTATTTAATCGACCCCCAATTAAATCGACAAATTCAAGAATTCATGAATCAAGAATTTCATTATTATCAAATTGATCTACTCACGGGTGAAATCATTTGAGAATGAATATCAAGTTCGAAAAGGGAAGCTTGAGATGTTAAGTAAAGGGGTCAAATATTAATATGGGGAATTGAAAGCTCCCGCGGAAGAAAGGATTCAAGATTGTGATGATAATATGGATGAAGAGTATTTGAAGAAAGTATGTTCTATTATTAATTTATTTATTTTATTATTATTGATTATTAATTTATTATTTAACTATTTATTTATTATTATATTTATTTTTTATATTTTTAGTTAAATCTTGAGTTTTAACGTTTAAGAGAAATTATGCGAGCTATTATTCAAAAAGCCATTGAAGAGGTATTTTATATTTATCACTATTTATTATTAATATTGTATTTTATTATTTTATTTATTTATTATTAATTTTTTTTTTTTTTGCTTTTATTTATTTTTTATTTATTTATCATTTATCGCTATTTATTTATTTATTTTTTGTAGTTTACTGCACAATTGGTTGATCTTTGGGATAAATTTTTGGTTCCTCAATATGAATGTGATGAATTCTTCAAAAGCTTACAAAAAAGTAAATAAATAATATTAATAATAATAGTAACCTGCAATGTTACATTTCAATATCAAATTTTTTAATTTATTTGATAATTGGATAATAATTAACTTTTATACTTTTTATACGCTATATAATTTGAAAATTAAATTTAAATATTAATTAAAATATTACCTCATTTAAGACATCGTTTAAATTCACAAAATTATCAAATTTTTTAATGCCACTTCTAATCCTTCGTCTTCTCTTTTCCATTGTTGATTTTCAATATTTCGTTCATTAATACTTCCATCAATCTAACTAGCATAATGTATTGTTCCAAATCCACCTTTAACATCTTTAAACCTATCATAAGGTATCCATTCTATTACTTTCTGTCGAGCATCCTGAATGAATTTATCTATTTTGTCATTTCCACTTGTCCAATTATTTAAATCCTTTTGGAAATGTTTCAAGTTACATGGTTTGCACCACCTACCATAGCTATATTTTTGATTGCATTCTGGGCATATATTGGATGCCATTTTTTTTTGTTTTCTTATGGTATGAAAGGTAGAAATTTATTTTTTTTTTTTAAAAAAAAAAGTAAATCACGTTTAAAATTGCAAGTTATTTGAGTAAACATTGCATTACACAAAATACTTACGTTTGAAAACAGAATGGTAAATTCCAATAAGATTTAAAGATTAAAAATGATGTAAAAGGCAATTTCTTCGGACTTCGGTAAAATTATTTATGTATTTAATAAGCCATCTGAAATTCACATTGAGAACTTGTGATATAATAATATGTATATTCAAATACTACAATTCTTTTTTGCGTAATAAAAATAACACATTTATTTATAATCCATAAACGTGTTGACCACCTTCACATTTTTAAAATTACACAGCATCATTATCTATACGGACAATTTGATTATAAATGAGACATGGAGCCTAAAGATCAGTATTAAAACAAAGTATGATCTTACATCCGGAGTTTTGCATTGGATTGGAACATCATAGGGTGAATTGTTTGATAAAGTGAAGAAAAGAGTAATTGCAGATTTCGTTTTGCAAAAAAATAATAGTTTAATTGAAATACACCTTATCAACAATAACATGTGACTGATCCTCAAATTTCAGCCAATAAAAAATTTATATTCTCGCGAATCATCACATGTTAAAAATTGTTATTGGCTGAAATTCGAGGATCAGTCACGTGTTATTGTTCAATTATATAAAATCATTATCGCACTAATTTGAAAACCGCGATAATTTATAAATTTTTTATGAATGAAATATAATTAAGATTGATTAAATGAATAAATACTTAAATTCAATTTAGGAGAAAATGATACGTAAAGTAATTTAAATTATTGAAATGCACTTAAAAAATATTTGGGAAAAAAGCTTGAATTTAAATTTAGAAGCAAATCAGCACGAACGAACATATAGCTATTTCATACTTAAATGAGTAAAGAAAAAATATTTCCAACTTTTGGTCATAATTTTAGTTCAATCCTAAAGCGCTATAATGATTGTCCAACTTTCAGAAGGTATTAATTATTATTATTATATAACAAATTTCGTAAACAAATGGTAAAAAATCATAACAAATGTTAATATACGATTTCGAAAATGTTCAATGATCGTATTATGTATAAAGACATTGAAATATTCTATTATAACACTTTTAGTCGATTTTGTAATAAATTTATACGTATTTCCTTTATTGTTATTTTTTGTGTTTATGAAAACCGAAATTACAAACTAAGTTAATTGAATTTGTACAAATGGGATGAAAAAATTCTTACTCTATGCTTAGTGTTAAGATTTTATAGTATCAAAAAAAACTAAAATTGATATATATAATGTTAAATCAAATCAATCAAAAAAAATCAATCAAATCAGAATTATCTAAACAACATAGAAATAAATTAATATAATTTATTATAAAAATAATAATTAAAAATATAATAATGCTTACTAGGACATAAGCCAGACATAGGTTTAGTTAATTCTTCGAGTTTTCTTTCGAAATTTTCTTCATTCTTGGGTTTTGGAAGTTTTGAATAATTAAGAAGTCGACTGGTATAAATCGCTTGTGGATGTGTTTGATAATTAAGAGGAGTTGTAGTTGTTATAGTCGTTTTATCGGCTGATTCTTGGTTTGCTGAAAATTCTTCAGCTTTTTTAATTTGAATTACAATTTCTGAATTTTCATTTTTCCCATTTTTTAAATAATCGTTACGATATTTCCACAACTCATAATATAATTCTACAGAAGTGGGTCTATGTGTAATTCGAGCATCCCAACACCTCATAATTGTTCTTGTAATTAATTTTGGAATATGAAATGGAATTTTTGGTCGTAATCCATTGCATATTTCCATGGCTAAATCATTATCATGTGGTAGATCAGGATATGGAGGAAAGCCCGTAACTATTTCGTAAGCAATAATTCCAAATGAATATATATCAGCAGCTTTTGTATATTCTTCATCACCACTTAATATTTCTGGAGCAATATATGGTAATACGCCAAATATATTATTTTTTTCAGAACTATTTGGATTTTGCCTTATTAATTTACTTAATCCAAAATCTGAAATCCGTATAAAAATTTTAAAATCAGATGATAAAATATTTCCAGGATGGAAGTCTTGGTGAACTATATCTAATTCATGAATATTCATCAACTCATAAGATAAGTTCCCTAGATTTTCTAATTTTTGTTTCCAATTAATATTATTAAAATTAATTTTTAAATATTCTCGAAGATTTCCATCTTCTGCATATTCTAAAACCATCATACATTTGCATGTTTCTGGATCTTGTGTAATTCCATAAAATCGAATTGAAGCTCCTACAGTCCGTGTTTTTAAGTGAATTTCCATCTAATAATATAAGCATTTTTTTAAAATGTTATATAATAATTTGAAAATTAAAATTTAATATTAGTTAAAAATATGTACCTCATTTAAGACATCATTTAAATTCACAAAATTATCAAACTTTTTTAAAGCCACATTTGTATTATCATTTCTTTTCCATTGTCGATTTTCAATATCCCATTCTATAATTCGTCCATCAATCCGCCTAGCGTAATGTATTGTTCCAAATCCACCTCTACCTATTTGTTTAACATCTTTAAATCTATCATAAGGTATCCATTCTACTACATCACGATGTTTATTAGCATTTTGTTGAGCATCTTGAATGAATTTATCTATTTTGTTATTTCCACTTGTCCAATTATTAAAATCATTTTGGAAGTGTTTCGAGTTACATGGCTTGCACCAATCCCAGGTATTCTTTTCTTGATTGCATTCTGGACATTTACGAGACATTTTTTTGTGTTTGCTTATGGTATGAAAGATAGATTTTTTTTTTTTGAAAAAAAGAAACATAAATTACCGCAAGCAAGTTTAGTTTACCTTTGTTAATGACATTTTATTATTAATATTTTATCTCATTACACAGAATGCGCAAAATGCAACGCTAGATTGGGGTAACCAAGTTTAACCAGAATAGTAAATTTCTATAAGATTTACCCTTTCACCACACGTGATTATGTTCTGTGAAAAAAAATAATTAATTATAAAAATTACAAAAAGAATCCACGAATAATTTAACATTTTAATATTAATTTTTTGTTTCATAGATATTGTCTATTTTTTTTTCTAACAACAACTCTATAAATCTAAAAGTTTATTTATTAATCTAGAACATCTAGAATTTTTATAAAACGTTATAATTTGTTTATCAATTCTTAATATAATTATATAAAATAAAGAAACTAATAAGTGAGCACCTCATTTTTATGCAAAATTAATTATAATTGTATTAATAAAGATTATTACTTTGAAATTAATAAAAACGTAATTAAACTAAACAAAAATTTTACTCTTAATATAAAATTAATGTTTTATGAAAATGATCCTTCAAAGTTCGAGGCATTATTTTCTTCGTTTATATATAGAAATTTCATTCAAAGAGTTAAAGATCCCGAAATGGCAATTATTAATATATTCAAAATGAGCATGGTTCATATTTTGGACGTGATTTTTTTATGAAGTTTCAAATCTAATAATTTTATTTTGGATCATGATTGTTACTGTAGTCGTAACAATTACTATCATCAACATATAATTTATTATTATCGATTATGAAGTATTTAAAATAAGAAAATTTTAATGCATGAGAATATATATAAATTTATTATTATTATATAGAATCATGTATTAATTAGCTATACTATAATATATAAATAATTAAATGAAGGAATAAATTATTTTAAGTGTCAGTTTTCTCATTTAGGTTAAATGATTTTTTTTTCTAAGGGTATAATGATACTTTTTTGCCCTCGTCAGTTTTTTTCTGAATTTTACTATAAAAAAGTTAAAATATCCGTATGATCAAGCATCAATATCTATATTTATTTATTTATTTAATATTATTTCACCTTATTATATTGAATTAATTATTCTTTCTTTTATAAATGATAAAAATACGGAATGCACCCGAAAAATTTAGTACAATCAGCAGAATATTGAGACTTGAATATTTACCATGAAATACATTACTAAATACAAAATATAACTTTTCTACCAAAGAATAAGTTACTTAATATTTTCTGTTAAAAAAATTTGGAATAAGATGTTTGTCATACAGAAAAGATTGTCTTTTTTTCGATTCTCAATATTTTAAAATTTTTTGACAGGGTTATTTCAAAACTTTATTGAACTTCTTGATGTAAAGATGATGACTGCAATGTCATCATTGAAGTTAAAAATAAGAAAAATCTTTCACGGAACATTCGAATACTTAGTATTATAATAATTGTTACTACCATGATTATTATGAAATAAATCATCTGGAGAATTTTCTATTGACAATTATGAAGTATTTAAAATTTTTAGGAAACTTAAAAAATTAGAATACACATTTATTATTATAAACATTTGTTATTAATATGTACAGTATAAATACAATAGAGAAAGAAGCCAATGAATGATATTAATTAGCTATACAATAATATATAAATAATAAAATTTTTTTAAATACCCAAAGTGAGAAGTTTCTCGTAGTTTATTTATTAAGACGAATAAAAAATGCATCAAAAACAATGCATTGTATATACATTTATACGTGACATATAAATTATTTAAGTATTAGTATTTATTTTTTAGTTTAAAGGATTTTTTTATGTCATGAAAGGGTGTATATAACGCGACAATGTAATAAGTTTTTGTATTTTTTTAGAATTTTAAATATAGCCTTTTTATTTATTATATATTTTTATTTTTATTTTGTTTTTGAATAATAAATTAATGATAACTCATTCTTTAAGATAATGATTACTAAGCTCGCAAGGATCAAGCTGTTGCAATATGTCCACATATAAAAACATTCATAAATAAAAAATAATTATTAATTATATAAATAGGATATGTTTTTGATCAGTTAAAAACTAGTTTGTTATTTCTTTTTCTTACAAATTTAAAAAAACTGTTTATTACGTAAATTAATTTGAGGAGGAAAAATCATATGGAGAGCAAAATTCAATTCTAGTGATACATGTTTATTTTGTTCATGATCATAAGTTCACATAAAGTTGTAACATTTAACAAAAGCAGAAACAATGGCAGGACGTCCTAATAACTTATTAAATTACTCAAATTATTTGTCAGAACATCGTAGTCCATTATTTTTATTTATAAACATCGTCTTTTTTCGACTCAATAACTTGCAAAAAAAAAATGGCTCTAAAATTTTTTGACAAGTTATCTCAAATTTTATTGATCATTAAGATCTCATAAAAATAATGAAGCATGGCATGATACATTCAAGCATATTAAAATACCGATCATCATATTTTCGTAAAGAATTAAAAAACGTTCAGTCAAATGGAAACAATATTAGTTCGAACGTATAACTTCGTACCGTGGTTATGAAATGAAAATCGCCGATTTTAATTTAATTTAAATTTAAATAATTTTTATTTTAAAAATAAAAACAATTAAAATTATTAATTCTTTTCAATTTTTAATTAAATTAAAAGAAATTAAAATAAATCAAAGGAAAAAAAAATGCAAAAGCATCAAAGTAAAAAAAGACAGTAGCAATTATAATTATTAATTCTTTTTTCAATTTTTTAATTAAATTAAAATAAATTAAAATAAATTAAAGAAAAAAAATGCAAAAGCATCAAAGCGTGAAAAGACAGCAGAAGAAAAACCAACTCCCAACATATATTAGATGCTTACCCACTTAAAGAGAATGAAACTAAAGCAGAAAGAACAAAAGGAAAGATTAGATCACCTAAATTCAGATACAGATATTAACAGAAATCAGAAAAAGAACAATCATATTCTCAAGCAGTATCAGAACCTTCTCAAGTAAAATCAGGAACTTCTTCAAGAACCAGATTCCAAATAATTGAGAATACGCCTCCATCAGCCTGAACAAGGTCAAAAACTCGAGAAGGTGTTAGGTTAAGGGCTCAATAATATAGAGAATCCAAGAGTGATGAAAAAAAAAGTAAAGATAGAGAGCAAAAAAAAAAAAGGATATGAAACAGAAACAATCTGAACAATTTTATAAAATAGGACAATGTAATTTAAACAATTATATATGGAAGAGATACTAGAAGAGAGGATATAGAAATAGGGGACATAAATTTGGAAGAATGGAGAATTATTTGTGAACATTGTCATGCACTGAAATGAGAAGGAGAAACAAAAGGATTTTGCTGCTTAAATGGACAAATACAATTGGCCCAACTTAATCCACCAACACCAATTTTAGAACAATTACTTACAATTGAAGATATTGGTACTAATGAATTTTATGTAAATCAAATAAGAGCATACAATCAAATATTTGAATTTACATAAATAAGACTCAATTAGATAAATATCTTTCTAATGCCAGGGAAGGGGTTTATACCTTTAGAATTCAGGGTGAATTATATCATGAAATTGTTCACTGATGTCCGATTATGAACAAGAACCCAAATTTGCTAATTATTTTTATGATGCTCAAAGTTCAGCCAACCAAGTTAACAGAAGACATGAAATAATGAAACGAAAATTGGATCATAATATGCTGACTGCACTTCAAAATGTATTGGAAAAATATAGTCCATTTGTTCACTCATTTATGTATGCAGGACAAATATCATCTGAAAAACTTGCTAATCAGTGTTAAATCTTGGCAAGGATATGAGACAATATAATCAACCAACAATTGATGAAGTAGCAGTAACTAATATACCTGATAATATAGAAGAAAGAGATATTATGCTTACTGTGCATGATAATAAACTTATAAGAATATCAGAATTGCATGATGCATATGATCCATTACAATATCCTTTATTATTTCCATCTGATGATGAATATGGCTGGCATGATGGAATATTAACAGCAAATGTTCAAGGAGTTGAAGAAATGAATCCCAATCAGAAGTAAGTCATACAGAGTCAGTCAAATATTTGAATCACTTACTGTAGAACCCAGTTCAAGTATGAGTATTAAAAGTGATGCAACTATAACAGTAGATGAAGGATTTTGAACATAACTTTGATGATGAAGAAGATAACTCTGATAAAGATGGTAATGAGAATGAAGATAATTCTGGTAAAGATGATGATGAGAATGTTGCTCAACAAAAAGGCAAGAGAAAAAAAGTTACAATTAGAGAGTTTGTGATTTATAGATTTATGATTTGGAATTCAAATAGAACAAAAAGTATTTTATATCCTGCAGGCAGATTATTTCAACAATATATTGTAGATCAATGTGTGAAATGGGAAAAAATAACTTAAGATAGTATTACAAAATCAGAAACTATAAAGATTAGAAATATATCAAGGACTAAATGATATAGTTTCTGATGAAGGTGCCAATGTTAAAGAAATTGTTAAAAAGATAATATTATCATCATCTTTTGTTGGATCCATAAGATATTTACAGCAAATATTTCAAGATTCAACAACAAATGTTAGAGAATTTGAAAAAATCCACCTGTTTGTAGCTGACACATGTAATTCCAATTGGCCTGAAATTGTTGATGAATTATTACCAAATCAACATGCTTGATTTAATTGCAAGAGTGTTTAAATTAAAATTAAAGGCAACAACTATTTTGAAAAAGTTATTGCACATGTGTATGTGATTGAATTTCAAAAAAGAGGATTACTTTATGCTTACATATTAATGATTTTGATGCCTGAAGATAAACCACAAACTTGTGAAGATTTTGATAAAATAGTATCTATAGAAATACCTGACTAAGATATGTAACCAAAATTATTTGAGACTTTTAGCAGAAGTATTATACTTGTTGCCAAAAGTAAAAGGCTTTGAAAAAATGAAAATTTCACTTGTTCAACTTCAATTTTTTCAATTTTAATTGCATTGGACTCAATTCAATAGTTTTGATAACATATATATCATGGACCCTGTGGAATTATTAATCCATCATCTCCATGTATGGTAGATGGAAAATGTAGTAAATATTATTTTAATACTACAACTTCTACCAACAAATTTGGATACCTAATTTATAGAAGAAAGGATGATAGAAGGATTATTAAGAAAAGAAGTGCAGCAAATTATATTGATAATAGATGGGCTTTTCCTTATAATCCATATCTAAGTCAGAAATATGATTGTCATATTAATGTAGAGATATGTTTAAGTATCAGAGTAGTCAAATATCTTTATAAATATGTATTGTTAACTCTGTTTATTTTTATACTTATTAATTTATATATTTATATATTTTATTATCATATTTATTCATATCTGTCTTATTTTATTATTAATTATTATATATTTTATCATTATATATAATATTACAGTAGATCAATTTCATAATCTGTAGTACAAATTAGATATTATTACTTAAATTAGTAAATTCCTAAATTCTT